TCTTGCCGAGGTTCCCTTTGGTACGTCTAGCCTCCCCCACGTTTCTACTAACCTCCGCGTCGGGAGACGTTCGTCGTCATCCCTGATGGCCCGCGGTCCTGCTCTTTGTCCCTGCACAGACGTTCGTCGCGATGGGCCATTGAACCTGAACCCCCCAATTCCAGACGTCCGTCTCTTTCCAACGGTCATGGGCCTGCGTCCAGCCTGGTGTCCTAACCGGACGTGCGTCCGGTAAAAAGGGGGTTAATGGGCCGGACCTCGGCCTGGGCCATTATCCCAACACACATAGATTTTTCATCATAAAAACATCACCTAAATCATCTTCACACGTAGTCAAATTAGCATGCTCACTATGCTCATTTTTCCTAGATTTAGGACAGTCTCTTATGAAATGACCAGATTCGTGACAATAATAGCAACGCCTCGAACTAGACCTAGACTTAGATCTATGTCGTCTACTATTATTTTCTCTACCTCTCACATGCATAACTTCCTCGGATTTTCTACCCTCACCCATTTGTTTTAAATCTAATTCCTTACTCTTAAGACCATTTACCACAATGTCAAGAGTCACATTATCTCTACCATACTTAATAGCAGATTTCACATTACTAAAGGAATCAGGAATAGCATTTAAAAGAGCAATAGGGGAATAATCATCTATATGCTTATCACCACACAACTTAATATCCGAAATAAGTTTGGTAAAAACATCTAGATTTTCTTCAATATCTATAGACATATCTAGTCTAAATTTGAAGAACTTTTCAAGTAAAAATATCCGGTTAGGCAAAGAGGTCTCAGTATACAATTCATTCAATTTATTCCACAGAATTTTAGCACTTTCTAAAATTCCAACTTTTCTAATCACAAAGTTAGATAAGTTCAAATAAATCACAGAACATGCATTTTCATTCATTTCAGCCCTTTTCTCTTATGTGTCAGAAATTAAATAGGTTTCGCCAACTGCTTTAAAACATTTTTGTTGTATTAAAATACATTTAATTTTTTGCTTCCAAATGCTAAAATCAGATTTTCCATTAAATGGAGCCATACCATACTGATTATAAGCAGACATTTTCACAGAGAAAAACAAACAACAAAATAAAATGTAAATTTCGCTGAAAACAATTTAAATATTTATAAGGCTAAAACTATACGGAGCAACTAGCACGAACACGTGGGGAGTATTAATGAGCACCAAACTCAACTTCAAACCCTTTGTTTTTTTTTTTTTAAAAAAAGATGACTCCAAACCCCTTGTTCTTCCGTATAAGCACAAATAAATAATAAATTTTCAGCACAACACAATACAACAATTCAAACAATTTTAACAGCAATGATAAACCTAAAAAAGGATTTCTACACAATAATAGACTAAAAATCACTACAAAAGCGATAAAAGGGATAAAAGTCAATATACCGGAGCGAAACCCTAGGAGAGGCGTTTCGACCTTACCCACCCAATTTTTAAAAAATTGGGATTTTTCGGAATTTTGATTTGTGTTGACTGCCCGTTGACCAGCGTTGACCAGCCCAGTCAATTCTCAGCTCCAGTCCAGCAGTTCACCAGTTCCAGCAGTCCACTAGCACATGTGCAGCAGCCCAGCTCCAGCAGCCTGGTTCCAGCCTTCCTTCAGCAATCCAGCAGCTCTAGGAGCCCAATAGCAGCGGCGAGTGAGCTCCGTGACCGGCGACGATCTTCAGGCATACGACGGCTCCCAGGCGAATAGGCTCCAGCGACGAACAAATCGGCGGATGCAACCGGCGAGCAACAACCTGCGGTAGCGAGCTTCCAAGCGACGGTGGCCTGCAGCGACGACGGTGGGCGGCTCTCAGGCGGCGATTCCACCGAAACTCAGCCTCCAGCTATTGGCGCAGCAAAACCCAGGTCAAGCACAGATCTGCAACCAGGTTCAGGTACTGGCGTCCAGCGACGGAAATCTCCGGCGAACGGCTTCCTGACAGGCGGTGGCTTCAGCGGTGACTGCGAAACTTTCAGGCAGCAGTCTGCGAACGAGAAGCATTAACCACAGAGCATACTCCGGCTATGAACAAGTGTTTTTCGTCGATTGAGCTCCCTGCGGTGGTTCAGGCAGCGGGGTGGTTCCAGCGGCAACCTAGAACCATGGCCCAGAATCAGCGGAGCTTCCAGTAGCTTCAACCGGCGGCTGACGGCGGTGCACGGCGGCGACGACTTTCCAGGTGGCGGAAACCGGCGAAATCGACGGCGACGACAACCTTGCTCTGATACCACTATTGGGGATCGATTCCGTCACCGGATTCCGGCTCAGGCAGTCCGGAGCTCGGTTTCTGATTGTCTCTTGTGCACTCCTAAGCTAAGGGAGCAACTTCCCTAAACAGCCATGCCTACACTCACCCTCTAACCTCACAAAGAAGAAGAAGAAGGAAACCCTCACAAAGAGATGCACACTCGGTCAGGAAGAAGAGTGGTTCAACAAATGAAACTCTAGCTTAGCTTACAAGGTGTAAGTCTGCCCATATGTATACAGAAGAGAGTTTTGGCATATTAGCCTAAGGATTGGACGGACAGACAATAATACATGGCAACAGCTCAAGCAAGTTGGACTATTCCAACACAACCACACAAACAAATATCTCACAACTAACTTAATAATGCCACTCAATCAGGATTCAAACGAGAGAATTGAATAGGCTTAAATTAGTCTGGTGTAGAGAATAGAAGGTGTAGCGGGCTGCTAAAATAGGGTGTCAACTATTATTAATATACAAAGACCAATTGAGCCAATAATATATTAATAACCGAAAACAAAGAACATCATTCATTCAATCATCATATTACAGCTGAGCAAACCCATAATGAGAGTAACTCTCTTAAAGAGTGTTGTGTAGTGTATCATTGATGAAGCCCCCCGAAAATTGGCTTAAACTCAGTGTGTGCTGCCCTTTAAAGATGAGGAAGCTAAATTAGAGGGAATTATAAACACCGAGAATGGTAGCTATGTATGCTTGTGATTGCTTTTTGTAGTAGAGAACTAATGCAGAAAATATAAGAAATGCTGAAATACATGCTATTTGGAAGGGGATTTAGCTACTGTAGCCTGCTTCTGTTCTCTCCAAAAAACTAGAAATTCTTCCAATATAATGCAGTAATTGGTAATGGATCTCTGAGTCAATGAAAATATGAGTAGGCTAAATAATGCAAAACCTGCCCAGAGCCGGCTATAGCCCCAGTTAAGCCAGGCTTGTGCCTAGGGCCTCACATTTCTAGGGGCCTCAAAAATTTAAAATACTTGTATTATGAATAATTAGAATTAGAAATTGATGAAAGATCTAGCATTCTAGCCATATGCAATTCCATTCTCCTAAGTCCCAAAAATAAACTGCAAACACGGAAACATCTATTCCCTCCATATTCCCAATTCCTAGTGACTCGGTGAAGTTGAGTTAATTATTAAAGCTTATTGAGTTAAAAAAAAAATTGAGATATTGCTTCAAGTTGGTAATTTATTAAGTAATTTTGTACTCCGTATATTGATATTCTATAAATTATAAATACTCGAAGTACTTTTGTTTGTATGTAGCTAGTATAATTTTGAAGTAATATTTACTTGTTTGATGGTAGTAGACTAGTAGAAATGTATATATTTTATTTATTTATAAGATTGTTAGTAATAATTTTATTTGTAAATAAACTATAGCTTCTCCTTTGACTCATTTGTTTGTGATTTTTTAATATGTATATACAAACTCCGTGTTAGGTATTGTCATGACGGGCAAACCAAAGATTTATGGTATATAAAAAGAAAAGAGGAAATTGAGAAGAGTTTTGGGTATAAAATCGCTCACCGTTATTGGCAATGATAAACATTCTTTATTAGAATGAGAATAATGATTAAAACGAGAATATTAATAATCAAAGTGACCACTTAATGTTTGTTGATATGAATGAGTTAAAATATTTGTTTTTTCATTTTTAATGACTTTATTATTATAGAAAATACATTGATATAATTTACTAATATTGATTGATTTTTTGCCTAGGGCCTCTAAAGTGCTCAAGCCGCCCCTGAACCTGCCCTCGGGCTCGTTTACTATTTCATAAAATCCAATGAGCAGCCTTGGATTGAGTAGGATGACAAGTAATTGACTTGTATGCAAATGACAAATCACATGACTTGATAGAGTACAATTATATAAAAAAAGTTACAAAATTTTATTGGAATAAGATAAAGGTAATATTAGACAAAGAGTATTACATTATATAAAAAAAAGTTACAAAGTTTTATTGGAATAGGATAAAGGTTATATTAGATACAGAGTATTACATTATATAAAAAAGTTACAAAGTTTTATTGGAATAGGATAAAGGTAATATTAGATACAGAGTATTACATTATACGTAATATATTACTCCATCGTTATTGTTATGACGTAAATACATATAGAAATGGATAATAACCGTATCAACATAATTAAAAACTTATTTTCACTAATTAATGAATTAGTGAGTTGAGACGCTGTGAAGGACAATGGTCTCGACAGTGAGTCCAGGCCCGAACCCGAACAAGACCCCCCAATCCAGCCCTTCACCCGTGGTGCTAAGCCCATCTTCAGCGGAGGCCTTCCTCATCTCATCCAAAATAAACAATACACATGCGCTGGACATATTCCCATACTCGCTCAACACATGCCGGGTGGCCCGAAGTTTCTCGGGCTTCAGACCCAACTTGGCTTCAACTTGGTCCAGAATTGCCGGCCCGCCCGGATGAGCGGCCCAGAAGACCAAGTTCCAATCCGTAATTCCCAGCGGTTGAAATGCTTCCTTCAAACTCTTCTCTATGTGCTTCGAAATCAGCCCGGGAACGTCTTTCAGCAAGTGGAACGTCAGCCCGGCTTCCCGGAGGTGCCCGTCGATGGCGCCGTGGCTATCCGGCAGAATAGTTTGGGCTGCCGAGACCAGCTCGAACAAGGGCCTCTCTAGGCCCGCAATTGGGTCTGACCCAATAATGACCGCTGCGGCCCCATCTCCGAACAGAGCCTGGCCCACCAGACTGTCCAGATGCGAATCGCTTGGGCCTCGGAAAGTGACGGCGGTGATTTCCGAGCAGACGACCAGAACCCGAGCGCCCTTGTTGTTCTCGGCGAGATCCTTGGCCAGCCGGAGAACCGTCCCGCCGGCGAAGCAGCCTTGCTGGTACATCATAAGCCTTTTAACGGAGGGTTTGAGCCCAAGAAGCTTAGTGAGCTGGTAGTCGGCCCCGGGCATGTCCACACCGCTAGTGGTACAAAAGACCAAATGGGTGATTGTGGACTTGGGCTGGCCCCATTCCTTGATGGCCCTTTGGGCCGCTTCTTTCCCAAGTTTAGGGACTTCAACGACCACTATATCTTGCCTTGCATCCAAGGAAGGGGCCATGTATTCACCCATGCTGGGATTTTCTTTCAATATTTCCTCATTTAAGTACATGTAACGCTTCTTGATCATAGATTTTTCACCTGTAAATATTTTCACAAGTTGCTGGTTAAGGTCTAGGACGAAGGCAATTCAACTGATCAAGGTCAATCTACAAAAGAATTTCAAATTGGGATAAGAAAATGATTACAATGTTGGATTTGGATTTTATTATATACGGTTCAGAAATTGCGCTAAATAGGAGTAAAAATGTTTTGAAATTCCAAAATATGAGTATCATGTTTTTTTTCCTTGAATAAGAGTAATCTGCCAAGTTTGGGAAAAAATGACAGGTTAAAAACCTTGTAATGCCAAACTTGGCAGAAATTTACTTCTATTCAAGGAATTAAAAACATGATACTCCTATTTTGGAATTTCAAAACGTTTTTACTCCTATTTAGAGAATTCTCTCCTTGTCAACCCGCGGAGCTTTTGAACTCTACATATTTTTTAGTCTGGCTATATGCACGGTGGTAATTATTGAGCAAGTCAGAGCTCGAGTTCAGCTTAGATCAAGTTGGGCTTGATGAAGTTTTGGTCGAGTTTCAATCAAGTTGAAAATTTATTGCTTGGTTTGAATTAAGTTGGAGTAGGGTTCAAGTTGTATTCGTAGTTTATCTATTACTCGTATTATAAAAAAATGATATTTTAAAGGGGAAAAAATGATTTGTTATACGTTCAAACACATGCGTTCAATCATCAATAATTTTTTATAGATAGAAACGCTGCTTTAAATTATTTGCCTAGTTGTCTCTTGGATATTAAGACTCTCTTTGTCATCTATGCTTTATTTAGACCTAAGATGAACTAAATTCAATTAGCCCCGCTTGAATCTGCAAGAGCGTTGCCTTAGAATGCATATAAAATGGATAACAATTTTAGAACATTGTCTAAAACGTTATTCATGGATATAAGGATGTTTATACGTACTATATAGTATAGATACATCATTGTAATGTCATATGTATGAATCTAAAATAATCAACACTAACTCATAATCATAATCGAGTAGCAAGTTTCAAATCGAGTTTGTATATAGCTTGAGTTTGAACTTTCAGTCAAACTAGATTTGAGTAAGAATCAAGTCGATCTCGAGCAAAGTAACTTGCATGTCGGTGTACTAGATTAGCACCCTAGCTATATGTAGACATATATCAGATCAATGAGAATGTGATAATGAAAGAAGTATTCCGTATAATGCATGCAAAATGCAATAATTAATAGACCAGATAGAGAAAGAATGGATCAATGAGGAAAAAAAAAATAGAAGCTGAAGTAAAAATCATACACATTCGCTTAAACTTTTGTTTAAGCTCAGTCATATGCTCGCTCTTAGTGACGTGAAAATAATAGTCGGGATAAGTGCTCTGGTCAACGCAATTCGGGGGAGTGGCGGTTCCGATGGCCATAATCGTCGCCGGACCCTCCGCCCGTTGCGCCTCTCTCACCTCCTCCACCGTCACCATTTTTGTATTTGAGGTTGCCGGAGATCGAACAATTAATAAATATTTAAAGGTGATACTAATCTTTGTTTGAGATTATGAAAGAAGTTAAGTTTATGTAAATATATGTTTTTAGTTGACTGATATTTATAGCCATAATTAAGAGGGAATGACCAGCTCGTGACGTATGTAATGACGTATTTATTTACATCTCTTAAACTTACGTACGAACCATCAAGGCTTAATTAATAATTACAATACCCAATTAAAGTCAAAAGTAAATTTAGGCTTCATACTTCTCATAGACAAGTTATCCTGATTGAATTATAGAAGTTCTAAAAAAAAGCTCTAGCTGTGATATCATAATATGTAGTCAAAAGTATTGTAGGAGGCAGGAGCTATACAAATAATTATAGTCCGTACAAAACAATAAATAAGAGGACTAAATAAATTTGGAAAAAATTGACAATAATAATCTTACATTTCAGCGGTCTTCATAAATTTATAGAAAATTGACAATACCAGTGAAATGTATAATTATTATTGTCAATTTTTCCTTAAATTTAAACTGATTAACCATCACCATGCTTCAATATTATTACAATGGAATTGAAGACGTTGTAGTTTTAATAAAGTGACTTTATTACAATGGAAGACGTTGTAGTTTTAATAAAGTGACTTTCTAGACAATGAGTACATGATAAAAAAAAATATACCAATAAATCTTTATAAAATTATATACTCTGCATATATAAAAGATACATTTTTTCGTGAACATATATACAATGCGCTACATATATAAGCATATATACCATGTCATTATTGTGTATATATACAATTAATTCAACTATATATTCTTGTTAGAAAATAAAATATTCGTAATTATTGAGAATATAATTTCTAATGTATTGTCTACTTTTTGTTTCATGATAAAGTAGAGTTTTTTTCGAATTAATGCTAATTAATTAATTAATTACGAAAATAATGCTGGGTTAAAACTTATTACCGATCTACTGCTGGGTTTAATCATGGTCGAGCAAAGTCGCCAAACGATTGGACGACTTATAAGTCGCCATCCGGTTTGGCGACTTATAAGTCGCCCAACCGTTTGGCGACTTTGTCCCATGCATCTGAACGATGGAACCAGCTATTGGAAGCCAGGCATGATCGTGCCCGGAGGGAGGCACGATCGTGCCTGAATCCGGATTTCCTAGTTACGTCTGATTTCACATGTTTTCTATAAATAAGTTCTCTCTTCTCCTGTTTAGGTGTTACGAACATTACGAGAGGCCTAGTGACAAATTTACTTGCATTTTTACCATTGTTTACTCCAAGACCCTGGGATTATTTGTAAGTTCATCTTTTTAATTAATGATCGACAATTGTTTATATTCATCCCAATTTTGTTGATTCTTCAATTAATAAGAGGCAGTAAACTCGCTCGTCCTGGCTATAGTTTAATATACAAAACAGTAGATTCATAATCAGTAAAACACAGTACAATCATCTAATATTCATAACACAGTACAGTCATCTAATATTCATAACCGAACACATCAAGACATCATAAAAGAGTTTGCAGGTAGAAGTACGTAAAATAAATTCAATTGTTCCTACAAGATCCAGTGTAACAGAAAAACTCCAATACAAAAGACAAACTACAAGTTCTCATGGTCTTCTTGATCGGCTTGGTCATAGAGATGTTGTTGTTGCTGCCTACACCTATGCCGCTGTCGTGGTTGAAGAACCACTCTCTCATGCTGAGTCTGAGATGATGAAGTCGCCGCTGCACTAGATGTCGATGGCATATCCTGAGATGGGGGCATATGTATAAGATGGTTGTAGTCGACTCGCCCCAACACATCTGAACACAACGAGGCAATGCTCGTAAAAGCCTGACCATACATTTCCACATCATGCATATCACTCACTGTGGCAGTAGCCCGCTGATGTATACGCTGCAAAGCTCGTGTCTGAAATATGAAACACAATTACAATTAGTTAGAAATAAATAAAAGTGTTAAATAAAGAAAAGAAAATGACTTACTTTAGTAATTAGTAATATACTCACCGTCAGATGCAAAGCCAAGGAGCTAGGCTGATAATGGTGAGTAAGGAGTCTGAACGAAGGAGACACAAACAAACGAGTGATGTTGTAATACCATCCCATGTAGTCTCCCGAAACAGATGGGACTAATGTCGGTGTCCCAGTCACAACAACCTCAGCTCGCCTCTCCCACATATTGACATATCGGACATGTCTGAGTGCCCAATCCTCCGTATGCTTCCCACGCCTATCCAACCTATGAAGCTCTACATATGTGTCGATAGGTCCTGGAATGACCTGCTCATACCCAAACTGTCGCAGTACACGATCATGTAAATGAAGCTCAACAATGTCAAAACATATCAACGGCACACATGTTCACCATATGTAATCTGTTTCATAAACATACAAAATTAGTTTTTCTGCTATACATATTATAGTTAATGTTATATTACGCACACCATACCTGATCCTCAGACATCCGATCAAATGCATCCCTGTACACACCGAGCCCAGAAGCCGATGATGTGCGACATACATCAGCAAATAGCTATCTAACCATTCATGTAGCATATATTAATATGAATATTATTAATATATTTATATTCAACATACAATAACATAAGTACAAACGATTGAAAACATACTGATTCTATTATAGCCGGTTTGTTTACATTTCCACATCTAACCATTCTTCGGGGACCTTAGATTCATCCATCTCATTCTTAATATGTGTGGACTTAGGTTATCCCTTAGCCCGAAGCATGGATGGATCGTGCACAATTTGAGGTCCATGGTAAGTCGGCCAATAATCACGGTCAGGAATGGGTTTAAATACTCTTTGATATGTGGCGGCGTATTGGTCAGATGAGAAAAAAGGATCCACAAATGGATGAGAAGACAAATTACGTTGTCTGCACACGGCTAATACATGGGAGCATGAAATCTTATATATTTCCATCTTTTTACAAGTGCAAGTACACCGCCGTAGATGGACAATTTGTTTTCTCCCACCCTTTCCCAACGTTCGACCACCACATCCTGTTTCCACTTGGTATATCCCTTTGCCTATATCAAATGGAGTAACAATGTGATGCTTGGCCTTCTCTCTATTCTTCTCAATCCAATCTGTGATGTGTGGGGAGTACTCGTGGCCTTCTGTCACTCTGCTTCTGCTGCTTTCACGCCTATTAACAAAATAAGCATTAACACGGTAAAAGGAAACCTGGACTAAAGCGGTAATGGGCAAATATCTGGCATTTTTCATCACGCTATTGAAAACCTCTGCCAGATTAGAAGTGGTGTAATGACCACATTTCCGGGGGAATGTTCCCCAGAAATTGTCATGCCTCCACCCTAATTTCCCTTATCTTCTTGAACCCACCATCAAACTTCTTTTTCTGATGTTGTCGTGCGGTACAAACAAACAGATTTTTTAGGTGAGTGTGTTTGAAATGAGTGTGCA